ATTTACGTTATCAACTCAGTTGATAAAACTAAATTACCCTGTTATACTTTCCCATCGACACAGCAGCACAGTTTTTTCTTTAGAGACTTACCCTTATAATGGCGAAGTTGGCTATGTAATTCAATATTCAATGTATTTCTTATAGTAAAACAATTTCTTCCTTAAACCTACCTCCTCCTTCTGCCGATGAAGAGCCAGCCCGATTTGTCACCAATTTGCGAATCTGTTCATTTTGATTCTTCACGTCTTGAAGTTGCCTCACCACTTGAGCGAGAAGTTCTTTTGTGTCTGTGTCCTTCTGGTACATTTCCTGTAGTTCCTCGGCATTTCTTGCAGCCTCTGGGGTTAAGGGATCATGCCGCAGCTTGTTGATTGCTTCTTCCCATTCCAGTTTTGCTTCTGCGCTGATATGGGAAGCTATACGTAAAAGGACTATTTTGATTTCATCCCAGAGGGAACAAAATTCTGCATCACTCAACTCTCCACTGTGAAACTTATGAATAATATCATTGCGGTAAAACTTAATTCTGACGATGTCTGCAGTCAAGCTAAAATCATCTCTACTTGGGGGACGATCCCATCCGCTGCGCAGAGGAGGTAGTTGCGTCGAACAAAGAGTTTTTAATAGTTGAGAAAGGAGGCTGATGTCAAAGTCTCTTGATTCTCCAAACAATCCTGTTGCTGGATAAACAAGATCACGTTGAGGCTTCAGGAGAACGTGGAGCAACTTTTGCTTGGTGGCAAACTCACTCAGTTTGTTGGCGAGACTGCTTGGTGGGTAAAAGGAGTCAAACTGTGCTCTCAATAACTCGGTACCCGCACGCATAATCAGTCGAGAAAGACGCTGATAATTTTCGTTTTCAAACGTTGAACGGAGCTCTTGGTTAGCTGTGGCAAAAGCAGTTGCCATTTCGTTTGTGCGTCTCCTGCAAAAAAAGTTTAAAAGGTCATGCAATATTCTCTGATTTGCGATTTAATGTCAATCGAGAAAGGGCCGTAGGATGGCTTTTTCCTTTTCCTTCTTTGAGTCATTTTCCCGAGATTCACAGAATGCAAGACAAGAAATTCGCCTCACCCCACGGCGCTTAAAGTAGTACCAAAGCAAACTATACATCGATAAACAAACAATTAAATTTATTTTTTATTAATTACTGAATAGAGTATCTTTAATTACCACATCCTCATTAATTATGGCTTTTCAGCTTTAATGAAAACAATTACTGAAAAAATATAGATTGATTTTTACGAGGGTGTTATAAAAGGCATCACGCAAATCAGCTTGACACTTTTTGAAAATTGAATTCGACAGTTGTCCTAATAACACGGTTATATCTTCTTGCAAACAACTATGTTAGTGAGGCAAGTGTCTTCGTGAAGTGAAATAAGCTAAATGAATAGGAAACAATGATCTGTAAACGAGAGTTTCGCTTCTCTTTGAAACAAACACTGAGTGTGCTTGTCACCGGCGAGAGTTTAAATAACCACAATGGAATAAATACGGAATGTTCTGGGGCCCAGAACATTCCATCTTCTCGGGCACAATTTCAAAAGTGGGGGTGATTGTTTGACATGGTGGATCACACATGATGGAACTAAATATTTAGGTCCTGATAAGTTTAGTAAGACTAAAGGTTTACCCCGTCCGCCAATTAGAGGTGGCTGTTTGACAGAAATCTTATCTACAGTAAATATGCGAAGCGAATAGAATACTTTGGAATTAAAGTCTTCAATAACACAACGTCACACGAAAAGTATTTAAGAGCTAA